AATCACACCTGAGCAATGCATGCCACTAGTTTCTCCATACAGGAGGCGTCTTGAAAGCTGTCATTGACAACAACAACAACTTCATTTCTGGACATTTATGGTTTGATTTCTTTGTATGTATGGATCACTTGGGTTGTTACCGACATCTGGTGAAAATTTCATGTCATTAGCACCTCTAGTAATATATTTACTGAGAAAAATGGTGACGTGTTCAATACTTATTTTACCCACTGTAATTTACTGTCATTTCAACTCCTAAATGCCATGGGAACATACTGTATATATTTTGTACATTTATTATGTTTGTTTTATTAGTTCATTGTTCTCCATGTATTTTTAAAAATAAATTAACAATTTAGTAAAATTTTTTTGAGGACCCCCAAGATACTCCTCACAGACACCTGGGGGTCCTGGGACCCCAGTTTGAGAACCTCTGTGTTAAAGGAAGGCTTTTCCGGCCAGTGGGGGTGACATTATAAAACAAAAAATATAATTTGAGTTTTAAATTTTATTATTATCTTTGCACTTTAGGACAGAAGAAAAGACCATATTCATTTAAACAATAAAATACCATTAAAAATACTGACTTAAGTGTATTTATTTCGTATTCTTCTTATTATCCAGTCTAATCAGGCTACTATGAGCTAATTAATAAATTGTATTATTAATATTGATCAGATATTTGCAGAACAATTGAAAGAGAAAGTGCACTTTTAATATTTTTATGTCAGTTTTGGTCAAAGCTTAAAAGAGCCACAGGTTGCAGAACCCTTGGTTTAGTCTGTAGAAATTGAAGTTYGTAATAAATTTTTCTGTTTCTGAGAGTCTGATCAGTTTATTCTTTATGTCTGGCTGGTCCAATGCAGTGTGCAAAAGTTTTGAGTCATTAGAAATAACAGATTCCATTCTGAGCAATTAGATAAAAAAACTTGCATTTCTCACTCCTCGAATGAATTTCATTTTCTGTGTCTTTTAACAGATGTGTGTTTCTGATACTTTTCATCTAATGGGTACTTATTTATGAACTCAACTCTTTCTTTTGCTCACCACCAGTCCATTTTTCTCTATTTTGAATCACTTCATAACACAATGCCATGGTCAGACACATGCACAGGACAGAGAATTTGTTACTCTGTTATTCAGAGATGGTTTGAATCAGACAAACCAAATATTAATACAAAAAACTTGCACCTGTCTGTTAATAGTCAAAACCATTAATAGATGATTAAACCATATACGTTCTGCACAATTTGCAKTTGAAAATGAAAAGTCAGATGTTGAAACTGAGCCTTGGGCCGGGGTCAGTTGCAACATTGTTTGAGGGTGGTTACAACATATTATTAATACAATATATTTCACTGTAAATAAAAGTTTTATTATTTTTATATTTATATTATTGCTAAATTTATAAAAACTGAGAGTTATCATGATATTACAGTGTTATTTATTTATTCTTTTTTGATCAAATGAYGAATATAGATTWGCCTTGATGAGTAGACCTTATATACAGATGTCAAAGACTCTAATTGATATAAAATACAGTTGRMTTTTAGASACAAGGATAAYAGAACAATTTGTGAGACAAYTAACTTTWGTTTTGYCTATTGTCACTGTWCRCCTACATTATGTAACATTTACATTGAAACAAACTGGGATTTTAAAACCATTGTTGAAAACAACAACTGCAGAAAATACATCTTAAACACTTTTATGTTTTAAAGTATAAAATTGTCATGAATACCCAACACCCTTTTAAGTGTAAACTCAGTTTCAACATGTTAATATCATCTGTATGTGCTCTGTTTTTATATGAACTTATCGTATGGGGACAGTAGCAACAGTTGTTACAACTGTCCCCCTTCCTGTCAGCCATGATAAAACCTCATGTATTAGCTAAATAAGCTCATCTGGATACATGTTAACTATATTAGTTAAAAGTCAACATATCACTTGTTTAAACCACATAAGTTTGAGCTGCATCACAAAAACAGTGACAACGGTTTAACAAAAATAAAGTTGGGCAAAAAAAATACTTTGGTTCCTCAAAAACAGTTTCTTTGCAAATAAATCTTGGAGCAGTTTTTGAATCTGCTTACTTTTTCTCTGCAAGGTGGAACATGTAACTGAGCAYGTACAGTGAGTGTCATCACTCTATGTTTCTGTTTGGAGAAAAATGACGTAATGCAACCATCCCTACTGTCCTCGGTCTCCCCTACAAGAAATAGATGACATAGTTCGATATGTTTTCTCAGAATTTAAAATTGCATCAGAGGAGCACAAACCTTTTTTTATACACACCTTGCTCAAAGAGTGTTAATCTTTAGTCAAACAACAGCACTCTTTTTCTGTTTGCTCCTGATGCTTCAGTGCTGCAACTGTCTTGGATTTAACCTGCGGCAGAAAAATGAAATCCTCGACCTCTTTGTTTACACAAGGGCCAAACTACCGGAGTGCAGATCTCTCTCTGCRTTTGCATGTTTCATCTTTCTCCATGATGCATGTTGAATAAAAAAAGACGTCATTTCCAACAYGATCCCGCATACCAAAGCCTCGGAGAATTCCCGTCTGTCCAAACACATCTGGCCCGGCTCTACTGGATAAGAACCAAAGCTGAGAAAGACTGACTCCTTATTCATGCTCAAACAATGTCGGAGGGAGTGAAGCTTCTGCGTCTCCACAAAACCCCGGAGAGTGTCAACACCACGAGGAAATACAAGTTTCAGCTGTATTACTTGTATGCTCTGATCTGTGGAGAGGCGTTGCTGTGTATCTTCACCTCGTTATCACGGAGGAGAAATGACCGTCTCAGTCTCCTGTGTGATAGATGATCTTATCGGGGCAGAAGATGAACACCTCACGTTTCCAAGGTGAAATGTTCTCTGATGAAAAACAGCTCTGGGATRAAAGAACAAGAACATTATTGCAGAAGGTTTGTTATATTTTGGGGCCCATTCAAGGAGTACAACAGTGTAAACGATTAATCAGAAGCTGTGTGGACACTGGGCGAAGTCTTTCTATTCAAAGAAAGAAGATGAATCTGCTTTGATTTATAATTTGTGTTTTCATCTCCTGCATCGATAAATTACCAGATTTTTTTCGAGGTGCATGCGGGGCAACTCTGACCTCTGGATTTGAAGTTATCAGAGATAAATCTGCCGGCGAAGAAAACAGATCCCCGACACCGAGCGGACTCGTTTGACCCTTTAATCATAGGAAGTGGAGGCAG